TGGACAGCGCTGCGGGGCGCTGTCGGAGGTGCTGGGCGCGACTGGCGCCGAGACATCGCACGCGGGCGTGGACAGGTGATGCTGGCGCGCTGTCGCGGGCACTAGTGCTGCGGGTACCTTGCGCATGCTGGCACGGGCACGGACTAGCTCGGGGCCTGGTACTGCCGCGCTATGTGCGCGGCCAGTGACCAAGGCCGGCCCTTGCCGGACCTCCGGTGATTTTCTCCGGTGACATGCATGACATATGAACTTAGCATCATAAATTAGGCACAAATATGCTATGAAACACTAGTGGACCCCGGGTCCACGTGCATGCGACTCGATAGTGCATAAATTGCACGTACGAGCACTTAACCTCCGAACCAACATTCTCAACATGCAAATCTACTCAGGCCGAATGTTATACATAACAAATGATGACTATAATGGCTAACACTCAGGTCATATCATGCATGCATTAAACTGCCTCAGTGGTCCAATTAACACATTTTTCATGAATGATTTGACTAAGTTAATGAGCTCATTTCATTCTCAAACATTAACACCATCAATAACATGATTTTTAAGGGTGATTAAACTACCAATGTTTACTTAGGCATGCATGCAACTCGAATTTCATTTTTAAGGCCATTAACTAATTAAATTCGGAACTAGCCCTTAAACACATGCATGGCTCTGTTTTTCTTCATTAAAAATCTTAAAACATCATAAAATAATTTTGGGAAGAAGTTGACTCGGACTAACCTTCACCAAAATGCAAGAAACGAAACCTAGGGCTTGAATGGGCTAGGCGCGGCTTAGGGACTTAGGGTGGACTTGGAGTGGAATTTTGCCGAGCTTTATTGACTAAAATGACTTATAAAAATCCAAGGAACACTTGGATAGTGATAATCTACGAGAGAATATGCTTGGAGATGGCTGGACCTCGCTCTCCTCCTTCCCCGGGCTAAGGCGCGCGCATAGGGGTTGGGGATGGTGTGCTCGATTTTTCTCTCAATTCTAAGTGATATGCTCGGGCTTCCAATTTTCTAAGAGCTCAAAATGAACTGAGGGAGGGTCCTTAAGTAGTGAAAAGGGCGGAGCTATCAAGGATGAGTCAAAGAGGACCAAATGAGTGGGAATCTCTCATTTTTCCCATAAGCATGGATTTAGTGGCATTGGGACATGATGGTCATGGTCTTAGCACGGTTTTTGTGATGTTTTCAGAGCATCTTGACTGAAGAAATAGGTCTGGTCATGCATGAGGGGACAAGGACTACCCAAGGCATTAAAATAATACCATGTTCATCATGCACTCACATTAAAATAATGCCCACTACTTGGGACTTTGCTAATCCTTTGCTTAGGGCCATATAAGCTTAAACTAATCCTTATTAAGTGTATCATACACGCATGAAGGGGTCTTGGGTGACAATGGGCCGGAACTTGATCATTTGGGATCAAGAAGATGGGTTGTGCACGCTGCCGCTGGGCTGGGCGCGGCACTGGGCTTGGGCGCGAGGGCGTGCTGGCTGGCGCGGGAGCGCGGGCTGCGCGTGTGTGGAGCTCCTTTGGGCCGAGTTCATCACTTGTTGAGGCTTCCATGGTGATTTCCATACTTAGTACAATTTTATCAAATAATGCTAAGGCTTGGCAAGGCCTTGGGCTCGGCTAACACTCGCTTGGGCGCGGCTAAGGGCGCGGGGATCGGGACAAGCACGAGCGGCTCGGGTGAGCTCGGTTAGGCACTATGGTTCGGTTATAAAATGTCCGAGACTGACTTCATGATATTCCAAGACTTACAAAATTATTCTAAGTATAAAATACCAAGACTTGGCTTTGGTCGAGAATTAACTTGAAAAATAATTAGAACCAAACTAGGGTTGGAAGCCAATAATTTCTCGAGTCAGTTTGCTATACTTTAACAATCCAAATTAATGGATTGATCTTGACTTATACTTAATATAGTAAATTCCAAAGAATGATCTATCAAACTTAGGAATTAATCGAGCATTTAGCATATATAATATAACTCGAAATTTCTGAAAATACGGATTTCACTTATAGTCGAGCAGTGAAATCGTTCTTATTCTTATTACTGTTTTGGGGCGTTACAGTAATGCTCACTACTATGCAATAAACATTTTCATAACATAAACAGTAAAAGAAATAGTATGATCACAGCATGTATAAGAATCAATTAAGTATCCCAAGTTTTCAACATAAATTCACAGTGTTCAGACTCATGTGTACATCTATATAAATAGACTACTGCCAGTAGATGTATCGAAGGCCCTCACTCGGTCATGCTTCGAATGCTCCATGGGCTCTACATCTATGCCCTCCGGCCTTACACACCGAATCGATCCACGGGCTTCCATCGATGCCCAGTCAGTAGGAGTAACCCCTCGGGTTTATTTTAATAAATACGGGACAACCGTTCGACGGCCGGTACAGCTCACATCAAAGGCTACATGATTCGTAAGCACACATTGATCATATACAATTAAGGTAAATAATTTATTGCATAAACAATTTTTAATAAAACCCCACCCGGTCGAAGCGACAATTCACAATCATGATTCCCGAAAGCAGGGTGAGGTCAACACCTCGAAATACCTACATTAAGTCAAGATACTAATATCAACACTTTATCTTGACTTAAAGAGGAAATCACAATTATACTTAGTCGAACTTGATTCGACAAAGTTGTTCGTTAAATCCTGTGGACGTTGGAACACTTAGACTTAGACTCAACCAACCAAACATAAAAGTTCACGCAATGTCATATTAGAGATATTCAAACAAGTCTAAAAAACAACGAATGAACCGGTTTATAGCTTTAACACAAAAACTACATTTTCAAAATAAAAGTCGGTAATTCACATAATTAGGTTGGTCAGGTTACCGAATGAGTTAGGCTCTGAAATTTTAACCAAAATTTCACCTACTAGAACTTAGTGAAACCACCAAGTTTCAGCCCCAAACTCAAAAGACACGATTTTATATAATTCAAACAAGTTAACAGGAAAAACAAACATAAATTAACAACTAGACCTATTGAACGAATTAGCCTATGAAATGTTTATCCAAAGAACCTCGGCATGTGAATAACAACATGTAAAAATCTCAATTTGAAACACTTAACATGCGAATTAATAAAATTATAATAACATTCAGCATATTTCAATGTTTCAACAGAACCTAATCAATGTGAACTCTGAAAATTAAAATATTTTTATATCGTGAAAAAAATTACAAAATAAGCACTTCAACCAAAAATCAGAATTTTTCAGCATCGGATCAATTTATGATAATTAAAACAGTTTTTGGCAAAGTCACAAAATAAATTATTTCCCTTAGCAAACCGAGTCCAAAAATTCTGAAAATTTTATACCATGTACAAACATGACAGAGGCATAACATACTTAAATTTCAGCCAGGTTGAAGCACGAATTCATTTATTATGAAATTAACACGGTTCTACCCATAAATCACTTTAATTAATTAAAATAGCTACAGACCAAATAAAATTATCAAATTTTTAAACGAGCTGCATAATCACCAAAGGCAATTACACCCATAATTTCATGGCAATCGGAGCAGCATACGATTTTTAATGAATTAAACACGAAAACAACAATTTACGAGGTCAACAAGTTATAAACGACTCGACAAAACTCGAAATTGTCCAAGGCCTTAACCAAAAGGCCAAGGATTCATTATGTTCCAATTCCCACAGCACTCACACGCTTTTAACGGGGTCTCGTTCGATTTCTTTCAAATCGACACGAGATCTCATCACGCGATTTAACATAAATACACCTATAAATTTATCACATGAAATAACGAACGACAACAATATGATACACATAAAATGAACGAGACGGGGGTGTCAAGCCTTTGTACCGTTCTCGGGAACAAGCTCGAAAACGAAACGAAGGAGGCGAACGGGGACGATGGCTAACACGCAGTGGCTAGCGGCGACAAACGAGGCAGCAATGGCTCGATGGCGATGCTTCGTCTCGCGGAGGAGCTGTGGCTGAAGACAATTCGTCAAGAACCTTCTGGTTGACATCGGGTGGAGTGCAGCAGTGACGTGAGGGTGGTCGGAGTTGCTGTTGGCTCACGGCGATGGAGGACGGGCTTGCCGGACTGGTTCTCGCCAGCGATGCTGCTTCTTTTTCTGTGCGAGAGCGAGAGATATAGGGAGATGAGGGGCTCACCAGAGTTGCTGGCTTGCGGGGGAGAGCTTGCCAGAGTTGCAGCGGCCCGATGAAGAGCAGCGTGGCGTAGGGGCGCTGCGAGGATTCACCAGTGGTGACCTGCTCGCGGCAGCGGCGGCGAGGGGATGTTCGTGGTGGCAGGGCGCGTTTGCTGGTGGTCGTGAGGGACAGCAATTGCACGGCGAACGAGAAACGAAAGGGGGTGGCGGTCACCGGTTGCAGCCTACTCGCGGGGAAGGGTCGCCGGGACTGCTTGACGCTGTGAGTTGAGAAGCGCAGCGAACGGAGGCGGGTGGTCGACGATGGCTGAGCAGGGCGGAGCAGCGGCTACTTACGAGAGAAAAGAGAGATGGAGAAGGGTGATGGTGATGGTCGATAGAGAGTAGAAGGCATCGGAATTTCTCATTATTTTATGTTCTTCTGTGCGAGATTCGGGGGAAGGGGGGAGGAGAACAGATAAAAAGCTGCGGGGTTCACTATCTGTTGCGGCGTGAGAGAAAGAACAGAGAGGCTGCGGCGTGTGATTAACGAGAGAGGAGAGATTAACACTACAAGAAATTACACATATTATGACGAAAATTCATGTGACGAAAATAAAATCGTCACAATTGGCTATGTTATGGTGACGAATTATTAAAAGCGTCACTAAATCATTGCATACAACGACGACTACTACATTCGTCATCTTAGAATTTGGTTTTCGTCACATAATCATAAATTTCATGACAAAACATTTTAATCCGTCGCCTCTACATCTAAATTCGTCACGTTTATATGAAAAGTGACGAAATTCCATGTGACAAATTAAATGTCGTCGTTTTTTTTTGTGATTTACTATGACGTTTAGGACTAATTCGTCATTATATAATTTTGTATTGTGACGACATATTACAATACGGTCTTGCCTTAGGTCATCGGATAGAGGGCATGAACAGCAGGACCAGACTTCCGCACCACGGATATAGATTCGTCATAGTAATACATATCATGACGAAATTCAATGCGACACAATAAAGGTCGTCGTTTATTTTTGGTATTTACAATGACGATTACGACTAATTCATCATTGTATAATTTTGTATTGTGACGACATATTACAATACATATAGATTCGTCACAGTAATACATACCATGACGAAATTCAATGCGACAAAGTTAAATGTCATCGTTTTATTTGGTAATTACAATGACGCTTACGACTAATTCGTCATTATATAATTCTGTATTGTGACGATATAGTATACTACATCTAAACTCGTCACAGTAATACATTTTATTACAAAATTTAATTCGACAAAATAAATGTCGTCGTTTTTTATTTTTTTTTTGTATTTGCAATGACGGATACGACTAATTCATCATTATATAATT